ATGACTCATTTAACACTTAATTCCTGTCCCAAAGAACTTACAGGTTATCAGTTCAGTTTATGTGCATATGGTTTTGACACAGTGCTTCTAGCCTAAGAAGTAGGTTCATAATTACTCTGAAAAGACAGGTTGCAAGAAATTTGACCTGTGTAGTCTTCTGATAATTAATAAAACTGGCTTTAAAAAAGCCAAAAAGAAAAAAGATTTAATAAAACTCAAGCATAGGTTACTAGAATTTAGTACATATGTTTATGCAGAAGAAAAAAGAAGAAAAAAAGCCTTCAGTTCTTGGGGCATTAGATCTTCCTGGCAAGCATGTTGGCCATTCAGAAAATGAGCACTCAGACCAGAAAGTGATTTAATGCATTAGCTCTAATGCCTCTATTTCCACACTGAAACTGGGATACATCTTCAGGCATATAGTGCCTGGGTTATGAATGACTGCAATTGTTAATGCATACACAATGTCCATGTAAAAATGATTCCATAAATAGAGAACTTGAGCTTTTAGCTAACTTATAATGTATTCATAAGCAAATATAGCTCTGGAATCTGGTGCTGTTGTCTTGATAATAAACTCAGTAGCTCAAGCTGTATAAACTGCATAAGCAGTATAAGAGTTGATCTAGTTTTATTCCAGTATGAGCATTACAAAATCTGGCTCTCCAGTTATCTAATTAAATGTTTCAACATCTTAATAAAATAGTAACTCTCCTAATTTAAGTAAGTAGGTATTTTTATACTTCACCTACAGTACCTTTGATGATCTACTGAATCTTCCATCTCCATCATATTTTTTCCCTTTTATTTTCCTTCAATTACCTGGCAACTCATTTTTTCCTTTCATTTGAAGGCACACTAGTGGTGGTTATTGTAGCATATAGATGTATGTAGAAGTTACTTAGTTGTAGTGATTTATAAAACATTTTTCTGTCCTGCTGGTTTTTCTTTGTCAGTTTCTGGAATGGTCTGTTCCCACTCTGTCAGTGTGAGGTTCTTGAAGATCTCAGTAGAATACAACCTCAGAAAGAGTAAGAATGCCATCCTTATCCAACATAAAGCCATACAGGATAGATTTTATTCTTTATTCCGTATGAAGCCATCTTGCTTCTGTCAGTGTGTTCAGTGTGTTGTATTTATATATGTATATACCAGCTGCAGAGTTTGCCCCACCTGAACTCTTTGCCCTTTGCCAACTTCAGGTTTTGGATTCTGCTTTCCATATGGTTGTAATTGCCTGCTGACACGGTCAGTCACGCAGGTGTTACACAACACCGTTCTGACATCATTTCTTATCTTCCTTCTTTGTCCTCACTGTTAAGAGGTGAACAATGACATCATCCTCAGGAAGATTACAAGCTCTTCAAAAGGACTATAAAGTCTAAGTCAGTGAGAAGGTGGAGTGACAGGTGAAAAGGGAAACTGTGGGGATTATTTTGTCAAATGTAGGATTGCAGTTTTCCAGGAACAGATACAAACGAAATTAGAGGCAGGGCAGGAGGTATTGATTATTTACCAAAATGTTCATCTCTAATGCTAACACGCTTATCAACTGTCATGCCGTCAGGGCTTGTATTGTGTAACCAAATTTGGGTTTGTACCAACTACTTTTGGACTTGGTTTTGTGATGCACAGTTTTCTACCTACCCCTCATTGAAAAATACTCTCAGAAAAGAGATCTGTAGCCAATGAACTACTCAAGAAGTGGGGGTTTTTCCATCTCAGTATATAACATCTTGATAATGAAACTTAAATGAGCCTTTCTTTTCTCTTTAGATCCACCTCAAACCTTGCAAAACCATGAAAATCTCAGTGCTTCCTTTATATCCCAGGAGCTCTTTCCACAGTCAAAATACTGGGCTACCGAGGAACAGTGGCACGCATTGACTCCTGTGATGCAAACATGGCCAAAACAAAAGAGGGGAGGAATATTCAAGAGACACACAAGGGAGGCTAAATATATCTATCAACTCTTATGGAGGTCTACTTGTAGTAGTCTGGTCTTGTTACAAAGTGACTTACCTCCAAATCTGTAGCTTAAGCTCTCTAAATATAACCCTTAGAAATCTTAGAAAATCATGAGTGCCAGTAAATCAAAGCAATAAGAATGTATGAGATTACAGAGATAACATCAACATACTCTTTCCTTAGCCAAAGCCCAGAGTTTCCAAGTAGACATGTTCAAACAAAGGACTGCACTCTGCTCAGACAAAATACATGCTTTTGTTTAAAAGTACATGCATATAATTATCTTAGCGAACAGGTCTAGAAAGTTACTGCTTGGAGTCTGTAAAGCATCACATTGTGATGCCCAGAGAGGTTGTGGAGTCTCCTTCTCTGCAAATATTCAGTACCCTCTTGGATGCCTTTCTGTGTAACCTACTGTAGGGAACCTCCTTTAGCAGGGGGTTGGATTGATCAGCTCCACAGTTCCCTTCCAGCCCCTAAAATTTTGTGATTTTCTGATTCTTGAATATTTGAAATGGTAGTATGTAGCCAGGTTACAGCATTTTTAAAAAACATATCTGTATTTCTTAATAAAGCTCTTTTCCACTTTTCCCAATTCAATCCGTGCAACAGGTTTGGATCCTGCACCTCCAGCTGAAACATGTCAGCTTTCCTTCTTCAGGGCTTTCTGTAACAGCAAGTCAGGAAAGAGAGTGCAAGCCTGATCAACAGCTGTGGCCCTCACGTCTTTCCTCACTGTCTTTTTGTTCATTCCCATGTGCTGTGAGACCTTAGCCTTGCAGCAGCACCTAGCAGCACAGGTTTCCAATCTCTCTGATCTTTAGCCTCTGAATAAGTATTAGGAGGTTTGCAGGGAGAGGTGAAATACTGTTGTGGGGATAACCCATCTTAGTGACATTTTCTTTGCACTTCTCCTCTTGGGATTTTAATGATTACAGTTTACGACAAGCATGTATTTGTTCTGGATTTGAAGTGTAGTCATCCTTTGAATGCCTGTAGCATAGCAATGTTTAATGAATATATGGTGTTTAAACAATCTTTTAGTTGTGCTGTCAGAGCTAACTTAACCATACTGCTTCTAGGATCATTTATTCTCAAAATTATATTGTTACTGATAAAGATAATAACTGAGATTGTACTGAAGTCCTAGAAACAAGTTGAGACATAAAGTTAAATGCAGTCACAGGGCAATGCTCTTTAATTACTTGCATCGAGTCCAAGTAGTTAATTGGTATATAAAGTTTACTGCAATCTTTCTCCTATTTAAGCGTGTTCACTGGTTTAGGCGCAGGGCATATGGAAAACTCTCATTGGTGCCTCTGAGTCAAGCATTTTAAAGCAGGAATACTGTGATTTATTTCAGATTGCTACTTGCTATCTTTCTTTACATAGGTGAGAACATACAGATATTTATGGGACATTGCGTAAGGAATAGAATTCACTTATGATTTCTGCATCTGGAGTACTTAAACAGTTAGTATATATGATTAGCTTTGCAAAATCATGAAAGTATTTTATTCCAGTTTCATGTTCAAATTTCTATGAATGGGAGAAGTGTCCATGATAACTCAGTAGTAAATGCTTCGCTTCAAATATCTTGATGTCAAAACAATTGTAGTCTCTCCAAAGGTGTCGTGGCAAAGCGGTCCCCAAACATGCTAATTAATGTTATATTAGAACTGCAATTAAGCAGAACTTAATTTCTATCATTATAAAAGAAAAATTTGGAAAACTAAACTTAGGTTTGATGTGACAAACAATACATCAGCCAAGTTGAATTTGGAAAGGGAAGTGTTGAATACAGAAACTGCAACCTGCATACTTAAAGTGTTTTCCTGATTTTTCTGCTTTACTGAAAACTAAACAAAAACTGAAATTTTACCCTATTGGGAAATTTCACTATCTAAATATTAACATTTAAACAAAGACTTTGACACATAAATGAATCTATATATAAAACACGCAAGATTTTTGCAAGTGGAACACCTGAGGTCATTATGGATATATAATCTGGCCAAAAAGTGTGATGTATTTGAATGACTCTCAGGAGGCAAAAATCCCTTGTAAGGAAATCTAATTCAACACTGAACTGAGAAACCTAAAACAATTTTAGCTGGTCAAGTATTAAAATAGTGGAAAAGAAACCCTAATCAACTCTCTTCCCTACTACCACTCTCTAGAGCCTACCCTTACATAAAAGGTAGTGAAGGTCATCTCCATCTCCATGTTTTTCTGCTCACAATATGAAAAAAGCTTACAAGCACTGGCACTTACAAACATGAACTTTTCTTAAAATATATATATATATTTCAGTTTGTTTTTTTTTTTTTTTTTTTTTAATAAAACAGCTGTATTCAGGAATTAGCACATTGAGAAAATTATTTCTCCCTGCTCCATAAACTTGTCATAAACTTGTGTTTCGTACATACAAGCATTTTGCATAAATCCATGGGAATCATTTAATTCAGTGAAATTAGTTAAATCCATTTCATTAGGTCTAGCACATTCTGGAACAGAAAACCTTTGTCCTGGCAGCCTGTATGCTTTACATATTCTGTTATGCAAACTGAGAATGTCAGAGACTTTGCCCTGGACCTGCTACCCTTGTTACAGCTTACCCTACAGTTTATTGCCTGCAGACAAATCTACAGACCATGAATGGTCTCAAACCTAGCAGCTTCTGCCTACAAAAGCAAGACAAGCTCATTTTACTATTATTTGCAAGTTAGCAGCATTGTGCTCAGCAGATCATGCACAAAGAGAACTCAGGCCCAGCACTCAGTTCACACAAAGCAGTATAATCCTGTTCAAACCGGTGACCTCTGTAGATTTAAACAAGCAGAGGGTCCTGCTCATTGTTTGTAACAGGTGAATTGTTTGTTTTTTTTTTTAATAAAAAAGCTAATCTAGGCAAGCAGATGGTGTTTTGCATGAAGCTCTGCAGCAGTGCAAGAAGCCTGGTCAGAAAAAGCCCGGTCAGAAAATACAGAAAATAATTCTATTTAACAGAATTTAAAAAAAAAAAGTCATACCCACAGGTAGCTCAGAGTCACATCAAGGTACATGCCTGCTTCTGATCTGGCCTCCTCAGACACCCTGTTTTTCCCCATGACCACCCACACCCTGCAATTTGGGCACAAACAAAAAAGCCTGCCTGTGTAGTCATCCTGCTGCTATCAGATGCCCCTCCCCTGAAGCCATCGGTGACAGCCCAGCTCAGTCATGCTGTATGTTTTGCATGTTGTTTGCATGCGATGGGATCATGCTTGTTGATCACCTATCTTGTCCTGATCAGATATAATTTAGCCTCTGTAATTCTGTTTCCTGTGGCAGATTCTGTTTGATGTCTTTTTGTCACTTTCTGTTTCATACCTTAGGCTGCAGAATTGCTCACAGACAGTTTAGTGCAAACGTATCTTTTGTCTGCAATATCCTTTCTATATTCTAAATTCTGGTGGTTCACTGATTCACTTGACTTTTCCTCCCTGTAGCATGTATTAAATATTGCACATCTATAGAACTGTTTCCCCATCTTCTTTTGATATTTCCATGCTACATTATGGGTAGTCTAGGGAAAAGTGCATACTAATGAGCTATAAAAATGAATTCAGATTTTTTCCCAAACACAACATAAAACCACAGAGTATCCTAAGTTGGAAGGGATTCACAGGATCGTAGAGTCCAACCTCCAGCTCCACACAGGACCATCCAAAATCCAAATGCTGTGTCTGAGAGCAGTGTCCAAACGCTCCTTGAACTTCAGCACTCAGGACTGTGCCCACCGCCCTGGGCAGCCTGTTCCATGCCCACTGCCCTCTGGTGCACAGCCTGTCCCTGACCCCCACCTACCCCTCCTCAGACACAGCTCCATTCCATTCCCTCAGGCCCTTTTGCTGTCAGGGAGAGTAGAGCTCAGTGCTCCCTGTGAGGTCATGGAGGCTACTATGGGGCCTCCCCTCAGCCTCCTCTGCTGTGGACTGAGTAAAAAATGATACTTCTTGAAGTATAATCTTACTACAGAAGGCTTAATCTTACTTAGAAGGCACTATCTTCATTTCTTTCAAGCTTTTATACAAGTTCACATGATACATTGCCTTTATTTTTGGATTTTGTGCTTCCTTTTGCTAACTGGGGCTCCTTCCCTCTTTGTTTTCTTTGCATTGTGAATTCCCATGAATCTTTCTGTCTGTACAGCTCAGCAGCTGAAACTGACACCCAAACCTAACCCAGGCAAACAGCAGCCAACCTCACCCTCATTTCAGACTTCCCATCTAGTTTATGTGACATTGCTAATATCAAACTCATTGTATGGATTAAATCCTTAATTTGTGTTGGCATAGCTCCATGGAAATCTTAACCTTCATCTGTCAGACACAAACTGAAAAGTTGGCAGGCTCTACCCAGTATAGGAGCTACACGTGAGTCACCCAAAGGATCCTACATCAGGAAGGTTCCTCCATAAATCATAGCATATCTCCTATGCTGCGCTAATACACGCAGCATGAAAGCACCTGAGCAGGATCCACATGAGATAGCAATATAGCTATGCTAGATGACACTCCACCCAGGCTAATACATCTGTGAAACCACACAGAAATCTGCAGTGTCTCCAGTCATTCAGTGAAACAGATGTGTTTGAGTAGCACTGCTTTGTGCTAGGTAAAAATGCTGTGGTCCCACATGTTTTCAACACATCAGCCTCTAACTATTCTGCCCCACAATCACTGTACAAGTAGGTCACTGCTGAGGGGTAGCTCCAGAGCCACACAGGAGGTCAGCAGGTTCTTTCCTGGCTCTGCTTCCTTTTCTCTCTTCACAAATCACTCAGTGATGGCAGCTCTCTATGTGAGGTGGGAAGAGGCTTTTTTTCCACTCAGAAGCAACAAGCTCCTCAGAGGTCCTTTTGTCCAATGTGTGGCTGTGTCCCGAGATCACTGCCTCACAGATGTGCCTTCCAGGAGAGCAGCAGCAGGGCCATCTGGGTGAATTCTGTTTGGATGTGTCTCTCATAACATGTGACACAGCTTTTCTTATTCTGTTCCCCAGGCAAAGTTCTGTTTGCCCAGGCAAAGTGCCAAATTTCCTTTTTTTTTTTTTTTTTCCTTTTCTTATTCTTTCTTTTCTTTTGTCGTTTCCATCTTTTTATCCTGCCAGTACCATCCCATGTGAGAGCCACAGTTTCACAGCAATAATAGTACCCCAAGGTGCATATGGTACATACGGTAACGGTGTCTGAAGGATGACACTGGGACATGCTCTGCTGGGTACTGGAAGGTGGCCAAGCATTAATTTCTCCCTGTCCCATTTTCCTGAGGACCTGCCTGGCTTCAAGCTAGGCCTGCTGTAAGGCACTAGAGGTGAAAATCAGAGAGAATAGTATTCCTTACATTTAGATTGCGAGTCCAGACATTTCGAATCCAACCAGGATCTTTCATCAATAGAATCTGAAAGAAAGAATAATAATGAACAATACAGTTAATGCACAGAATTATATGTATATGCACAGAAGTTGAAGTACCCAGGCCTCAATTACTGTACTTCAAACACGGCTGCTGTAATGCATATCTCTTCTGCAATTCCTTTGCAAAACACATTGCCCTTGTGTAATCCTCACTTTTTAGTGTACAAAGAGATGTTCTCAATTCTCTCTTTTTCTACAATCTCAGCTTTTGTACTTTTTTTTCTGTTACTGTTGTTGTTGCTTTCTGCTTTTTTTTAATTTGTTTGTTTGTTTGTTTGTTTTCAGTAGGATTTAATCTTATCATGGAATCATAGAATCATAGAATGGCCTACGTTGAAAAGGACCTCAAAGATCATCTAGTTTCAACCCCCCTGCTATGGGCAGGGTCGCCAACCACTAGATCTGGCTGCTCAGACCTACATCCTTGAATGCATCCGGGGATGGGGCATCCACAACCTCCTTGAGCAGCTTGTTCCCCTGAATGAAAAACTTCCTCCTCTATAAGGAGCCAGAGCCTTTTCTTCTCCAGGCTGAAAAGTCCCAGTTCTCTCAGCTTGTCCTTGTAGGGGAGGCACTCCAGCCCTCTGACCATCTTCATGGCCCTCTGCTGGATGCACTCTAACAACTCCATGTCCTTCTTGTGGGTGCTCCAGAACTGGACGCAGTACCCCAGGTGGGGTCTCACAAAAGCAGAGTAGAGGGGCAGGATCACCTCCCTCAGCTTGCTGATCACATTTCATGCAACCCAGGATATAGTTGGCCTAATGGGCTGCAGGAGCACATTGCTGGCTCATGTTGAGTCTTTAATCAATCTACATTGCCAAATCCTTCTCCTCAAGGCTGCTCTCAAGCTGTTCTCCAGCCAGCCTGTATTTGTGCTTGGGATTGCCCCAAGTCAGGTGCAGGACCTTGCACCTGGCCTTGTTGAACTTCACAAGGTTGACATGGGCCCACCTCTCAGGCCTGTCTAGGTCCCTCTGGATAGCGTCCCTTCCCTCTGATGTGTACCACTCAGCTTGGTGTCATCTGCAAAGATGCTGAGGGTGTACTCAATCCCACTGTCTCTTACAAAGACGTTAAATAATACCAATCCCAACACCAATCTCTGAGGATCACCACTGGTCTCTGGTGTCTACTTGAATGATAATAGCTTGCACTCAGAACCTTCCATTAAGGATTGCACCATGCCATTCAAACACAATGTACCAAGTTCTTAAACAACCTTATGTGCCAGGAAGTATTATTAATTCCATTTTCCAAATGAAGAAACTGAGATACACCCTGAATAAATGACTTATTTTGGGTTACAAAGGAAGTCTAGCAACAGAATTAGAAACAGATCTCTTTCCATCTGCCGTTATTTTAACAAGACTATTTTCAGAAGTAGAATAAAAATGATGATATTGTTGCACCAATTAGGAAATGAACAGAAACATTTTCACAAGCTAAATTATTAATTGAAATGCAGGTGCCTGTTGTATTCAAAGGTAGGATTTAATATAGTAACATTTTCCAATTGCACATGCCTCTTTGAGTTCAAGATGCATCTTGTTGCTTTGATAACAAGGTGGTGGCTTGAAGATAACACAGCAGTTAACTGCTCAGTGTTAACACAAAGTATATGGAACATGAAATAGCAGATCAAATTCACACTAAGTGTTTATGTGTTTGATGCTTGTATATCTAGTGCTTATAAAATTCATATGTTATATGTACCCTGTATTTTCCTAGGCAATGTTCCATTCTATTTTACTCAGACTGACCTATGAGTCTTTAGTACCTGTATGTCTTTTGTTTTTGTAACTTCTTGAATTCTAGGAGCAATTCCACCTCCCAGAGAGAGGTATCAGCCCCATCTCTGTCCTGTCCATGTTAGAACCAAACCCAGATTTTCCAGATCATATAATCATATCATAGAACCATGGAATGGCTTGGATTGGAAGGGACCTCAAGGATCAGCAAGGTCCAACTCCCCTGCAGCAGGGCCACCAATCTCCTATCTAGTGCTAGACTAGGCTGCCCAGGGCCCCATGTAACCTGGCCTTGAACACCTCCAGGGACGAGGCATCCACAACCTCTCTGGGCAGCCTGTTCCAGCACCTCACCACTCTCTCTGTAAAGAACTTTGCCCTGACATCCAACGTAAATCTTCCCTCAGTCAACTTAAAACCATTTCCCCTTGTCCTGCTATTATCTACCCTTTCAAAGAGCTGTAGATAGATGCAGTGTCTGGGGATTTACAACTACTGCCACTCCCCAGAAAATGCCTGCCCTACAATTTGGCTGCAGCCTCAGGATTTCCCACAGGAAATCACCTGGGAAATGCAGAACCACTTGGGGTAGCAGTCTGCTACTTCTGCACAATGCTGGGTCCAGGAGATCTGCTTTGGAGATGGGAAGGATCAGCTCTGAAGAGTTTTCTGTACTAATTCATTCCTTCTTCCATTTCCCCCAACTTTTGCTGTCTAATATGCAGACCACACAGATATAAAATAGCTCAGATAAGTAGAGCTATTTTCATGAAAGAAGTAGGCTGACTTTTGATTTTTCCTTTTCTTTCTCTTCTTCTTTGTTTTGTTGCCTCCTTCTCTCCTACTTTTCCTTTCCTGCTGACTTTGTCTTTATTAATAACAAAGTTCCCCATAAACCACATCCAAGATTAAAGA